ACACGGTTCCAAAGTGGTGATAATATAACATTATTATCATGCTATGGCGTTTCCTGAATAAATGAATATCAAAGCTCAGTTCTGATGAGATGAAAGATATTGACTTCAACTTATTGGGAAAAGAATCCAAATTTTGAGAGTAAACATTTTATGAATCAATAGATTTGATTAATAATCTAATCAAGTTGACGATTACACGATGACTATTAATCTGAATCCATAAGTAATCAACTTGTTAATCATTATTAATCATGATGAATGATTTTCTCTTCTATTTCTATGAGATTCATGAACTTTTATCGAATTGAAAAAAAAGTAAAAACAAAATTTTCTCATCAAACATTTCGTTCAGATTTTCATCTCTACCATTGAAAATTCAACAGAAAAATCCTAATCCTTTCATGTAAACATCTCAACAAAGATACTCATGAGATTATGTATCTCGTAAATTCATATGAAAAAACATCATGAAACAATGAACATTTGTCAAGGTTGAAAATTTCATTCCATGAAATTTTGAGAATCATAAGTTAACATTCATAGTATTTAGTGTTAGCTTGAGTTGTTACATTATTTTTTTTTCCATCATATGACATTTTGGAACAAAAAAAAAGTCCAAACAAAAATCAGGCAAACAAAGAGTCAGAAATTTCATCATCATCAGAATCATCATCTATTGTATTATCATGATATCTCATCATGTAGCTACTCCTACCAACAATTAAGGGTTGACATTTACAGTTGACAAAACTTTTATTACTCTCTCTCTTCATATTTACATGTAAAAGTTTATCGGTTGCTATTGTTACTCATAATATGATCAATTCTAGATATCAACCAAGCTGAATGTTAATGTACAATAATATATATACCTAATGATGAACAATTTCCGTTTTTGATAATAAAACTATTATTTATTACAACAAGTTCCAAGTCATTACAACTCATTTACCTATTGAACAAATAGTTTAACCATAAATAACCCGGAAGTGAATCATTACTATTAAGGTGTAATATTATTGTTTCCAATATTTATTCATATAATATTTCATCACTATGAATAAATTATGAAACCTTTCATGATAATATTGTCTAAAAAAGTTACAGAAAAATATTAACTAATATAACTGTAAACTCAACATCTATCAATATGAATAATAATTTTATCATTAAGATATTTACAAACTTTTTCAAATTAGTATTCAAGTAAATTGCTGCATACTAATTGTTTACTACTTTTCAATGATTTATTATGATTGTCATGGTATTCATTGCTGACCCGAGGGTATGCTGAAAATATTAATGCTTCATTGGTATGAATTTAAAATGAATCTAGAAAAATAAATTGTTACAACTGATAGTTTATAAGAAAAAGTTATAAATAAATTGTTGGGAGTGAGAAAGAAACTCAGTTAATCCGGTTAACTCCTGATTCAATCAAGTATCATGCTCACAATTAACTTTACAATTTAATAACTAATTTATATTATGGATTATTAACCATTAGTACTAATTATTAATCGTAATTAGAAATTGTTACGTTAATCATTTATTACTGTTTGTAAAGTGAACTTTTTTTCCCATTTCTCTAATTAATTTACCTTTTTTCTTGATTAATTAATTTAGATTCAATTCTGAGTTACAGATAATATTGATTATCTTGATATTAAGCAATTGAGTTTGTTTTTTGTTAATATTTGATTGATGAAACTTATCAAATTAAGTTCAGCTCTCATGATGATAATGAGAGATTGATTCAAGTTTTTTTTCAGCTAATTCTGATTCTTCATTGGCAACAACTAAAGATTCATCAGGAGCTTCCCCTGTATTATAAGCAATATATTTTTCATGAATAGTAAATGATAATAGCACTTGAACTTGTTGAAAATCAATTTCAAGCAATTGTCGTGAAAAAAGAGGTTCAGTTTCAGAGGAAGAGGAAATACTTAGGTGATTTTGTTAATGATTTCGAGGAAAAAATTAATAACCTGATAAAGATAAAGGGAAAGTCATTGATTTTCTTACAAGTTAACTGATGAAATGATTAATTCATAACCATGTTTGAGCTAAATACTTTCATGAAAATTCAGGATCAACAATTGTATCAACTAAATTGATATAATATTTCATGATATTGTTCAATATTTGGCTTACATTATCAGCAAATAGCTTCAATTGCATGGGTGCTTACAACAGAGCTTAATGAAAGTTTCAATGATGAACAATTTCAATTTCAAATGAATTAATATTATCTGCTGATGGTGTTTACCTGAGCCTATTTAGATAATACCTTTATTTGTTGTTTTACTTTAATCGTTTATGGTTTGGTGATCAATTAATCAACTTGAAATTCAGCTAAGTAACATTTATTGATTGCTGTTAATATTTAAATTTAGATGATAAATTAATGAGGGATATTGAAATTACTATTAGTATCAATAAAGAGATACTTGTATTAATATTTACAAGGGATAATATTAAATGTAACCCATTAAATTGTTTTTTAAACAATTAAGGATTAAAAGTGAAATAGGATTAATTTACTTTACTATTAAATTTTTTCACTCACATGGTAATCAATTGGATCGATTGAAAGTTTAATTGTACTGGAAGACAAACAATTCTAGTAATTAACTGGTAAATATCAATAATTTACAGGTAACAAAATCTTCAGGTAAAAGTTATTTATTCAGAATGAGTTGTAACTTTTTTTTCCCTATCGATCTAATAATATAAATCAGTTGATCACGATTGAGAATCAATTTTTTTTTACTCAATAAAAGTTCAGTTTTGTTTCAACATCATGTTATCATGTATTCAGATAATCATTTTGTTTATATTGTAAAAGTTTTCTATCAATTTGAATTGAAATTGTTACTTTTCAATAGTCTCCAGGTTGATGAGTATTTTTCCATGGGTTGGTTAATCTATAAGAGGATAAAGTTGAGATTTGGAAGGAAAAAAGTTCTGTTAACTTTTCTCAAGTTTCAAGAACTGATTGAAAACTTTTTTCTCCACCCTGGTAATATTATAAACATCACATGATTATGTGTATTCATGTAACGTTCATGATGCTGTTAACATTTACAATTGACTCACACTCGGATTTTAATGATGATAATGATGATAAAAAACTGATGATAATGATATAAACTCTGCTAATGATCAATAATTTTTTTTGATCATTTCATGATAATCATAATCATCATTATGTTAAAAAGCTCAATGAATTTTTCAGAATCAATAGAAGCTCAGTCAGATTGTTAATGTTTATCCATTAGACTCTCAAGCTTATCATGAATTCTTGAACAATCACCTAGTCAGATAATAGATAATATCAAAGCACGATTTTCATGAGAGCGAAACAAAAAGTTCTGAAACTTTCTTATCGTAAAGGTAAATGAAAATCTTTCACTCTTCAAACTTCAATAATACAGATAATTACATGGTGGTGGCCATGGTGAATTCATGATACAATTTTTTGCTTCTCCCATATAATTAATTAGATTTAAAGTTTCATTTACAAATGAATTTCATCAAGAAAATAGTTTCATTGAATTAGAATTTTTTTCTGATAATTTCCATATGATAATCTGCTCAGTTCCCTTTGTAAATTCATTTAACTGTTGATGATAATCATGATAACACTTGACCAGAATAATTAATTGGCCAACAAATCCGATAAAATTAACAATTAGCATTTCAATTACCAACCATTAATTGTTGTTGCTTCAAACGAAACATTTATCATCAATTAACTAATCTTGTTACTGTTGATTACAATTGATTGTTGATATGTTTATGATAACAATAGAAACTCATTAATTGTAAATCAAATTAAATCGCAAATCTGATCAAAAGCAAAATATTTACACAATCAAAATCTATGATTAGATTAATTAATGTATCATTTAGTTTTTATCAGGAAAATTCAAACAATTTAAACCATTGTCATTACTTGATTATCTAAATTGTTGACGTTGATTGTTCAATTTGTCTAAAGGGAAAAATGAAAAACCTTTCCTAATTTAAATAGTTAGTTAGTTAATAGTAATTTCCCCTAATCATATACCCTCAGGGCTATTAGACAATTTAAATATTCAACAATGATGATCACTTGAGAGTGACACTTAATTACTGATTGTTGATTAAAGTGATCAAATAAAGTATTTGACAAAAATTTTAAATGCTATTGGGTGAAAACGGTTAATCACAATTAACATGCTATTCAATTGCTGTTTAGATTTGATTACAATATTGAAATTGTTTTCAAGATAAAACTGTTTTGTTTTGATGTTTTAATTAAACACTTTGTCGTAATTGTTGCATCATCTTAATTGTCCTCATCACTTTCAATGAATAGATGCAGTTAATAGTTGCAATTAGCTTTCAACTTGTATTAATTTTTGATGATCTAGAGGACTGGTGATGACAATGATTAAGAGTAGCAGGAATTGTTGACACTCCTTTGATTAACTATTGATCAATAAATGTCACAACACTTTCTAACTTAATCATCAACATGCACAATCTAAACTGGTGAAGTTTATGTAACAACAATCGGAGGAAATGTTCATAAAGAAAAAAAAAGTTCACAACTCGAAAGAATCGAAAAAAAAAACAATTTTTTGACAAGAAAAAGAAGAAGAAAAAAATATCGAACAAAACAAGTTCGATTCTTATTTTTTTCATGTATCAAACTCTTTGATAATACCAAATATTATTTTTAGAACTTTTTGAGAATCTATCTTAACGATTAGATAATCTTACTAATATTGATAGTAGATTATCGTGTAATTATTATCCTGAGAATATATTAATCAATTCGAGAGGAAGAAAAGTTCTAATGGGCTATTTATACGTTTTCGATGAGACAAATTTTCTCAACTTTTTCTTTCCCTCAGAATTTTAGTGTCAATGTATTGACAGAAAAGTTTATCACTTAATTCTTACATTCTAGTCAATGGATTAGATTTTTTTTTCTCGAAATTAATACTCACCTATCAATACTCATAACAGTGAGGATAAAGACCGACGAGAAGACCGTTAGATGGGCCACGAAATTATTGATCGAACAGTAAATTGTACCAAAAGGCCAATGTGAGTTCAACATCCATGTAAAGTTGAATGCGGTGTTAAACAGAGCCATTAATAGATCGGCAAAGGCCAAATTGAGTAAGAACAAATTGGTTATCGTTCTCATTCGGACATGGGCCAAAATTATCCAGATAACGAGAGCATTTCCAATCACGGTTGTGGTTATAATACCGGTGAACAATAATATCCATATGATTCGTGCCCATGGAACCAAAATATAAGGTGCTGATCCGATTCGTAGTTTTAAACATTCAACCAGAATCCGAGAGGTGGTCAAGTTAATTGTCGCACTTTTGATTCCACTGTTGAGCCAAGTACCATTGTCTTTATCACTGTTTAAATTAATTAGATCATTACTAATATCACTTGCACTTGTAACACATTCAGTTACATTTGACCAGAAAAGTGGATCCGATTGATTGTAAAAATCAACTAAATTATAAACTCTGGAAGTTGATTCTTTCATAATTAAACCTGATTATTGAAATTATCAAAGGTTGTTGATGATAAATTGTAACCAAAATTCACATAAAATCAGTTAACAATTTATAATCAGTGTAACTTTATTATGATTACATGATGATAACGATAAACATTATGATTATTGTTTAGCTTTGACGAGATGATCATTGAAAGATTAAATTGTTATTGGTTAATTTGTGGCTTTGATTGACAATTAAAGGTGAACAATTTTGTTTCAATCACGTTTTTCACTTGATTGTCCGTTTTTCACACACAATTTAGATCACAACAGTTTAATTGTAACAATAAAAGGTAAATACTTTAATTCTGTTTCCTTCTTGTTCATCAAATTCACATCGTTCATCATCCTCTTCATCATCTTGTTCATCCTTGAAATTGCTCATTGAGAATTACAAAGGAAAGTTGAATGATGGAGAAAGCAAAGAATCAACTTGATTAACTAACTAACTTGGTTGATTATTGTTTCTTTCTGATTGTCAATTAAATCAGTGTGATGAACATGAAGATAACATGAGAAGAAAATTTTTCCAACTTTCTCTCTTCTTCGTCTATACTAACTAAGCTTCTGAAAACTAGTTACCTGAACATTGAATATAATAACTCACTCCTCATGTGCAATCGCTCCCATTTACGATTCTGTCTCATTCACTCACTCATTCACTCTCTCACTCTCCATATCGTATTGAGCGTTAATCATGACATATTAATATTTTCATTCATTTTCTATCTCCCTGAAGGGAAATTTCATCTTATCTCTCCTATTATGAAAATAGATAAGATTATTATAATGAACAAGTGAGACAAATTAACATTATCATGAAGATTAAGATCTTCTCATTGATTCTGATGAAAACTTGAAGTAACTTTTTCCAATTAAATTGATCCCCTTGAGGCGATTGAGATAAAATTAAGAAGCTCATTGTAAAGTTAATACTTTTATATTGAATAGTATTTAAAGTTAATTAATAACGTATGTACCTTTTTTTTAACGATAACTTTAATTGTCCGTTTAATTCTGTAAACAATTTTAACAGAGATTATGTTTTAATCAAGTTTTCCAAAAGGTTCTCATTTCTTATTATTATCAATGAGAAATTATATTGAATTTCAATACACACAATCAATGGATAAATTTTGAACGAGTTGTTATTTATAGTACAGTTCATATTTCGATAATAGTTCAGTTTCGATAGACACAAATGTAATAACTTCTAGTGACATCTCTAGGAGTTTAAATGTGATAGAATTCCAGATTCTATTAGTATCATATATGATAGAATCATCCAAATTTATTATTCTCTGCAACTAATAGGAGATTAATGTTTCTTTCTCGTAAGACTTTCGATTGAAAATTGATATCGGTCCAAGGATCAAGCATTTGAGTGAAGTTCAAAGGTCATTCTGGTCGTTTCACTTCTATTGATTCAATTTGAACATCGAAAATGTCAATAACTTATCCTAACTGACCTTGAATCTTTGGCTATAGTAGATAGAATTAAATAATTGATCTCGTGTTTGAGGTTCGATTTTTACTCTTCTCTTAATTGAGATGGAAAGAACTCGATTTTCACTTGGAACTTTATTATAAATCAATTTGATTTGATGTTTCAATCTGAAAACACTTAAATAGCCAAGTTTATATGAAAAGTCTGCATCTCAGCTGCCTTTTGACGGTGTATCATCAAACCCAAGACTTGAGTGTAACTTTTTGTGTTCTTTCACACGAAGACCTTAAAATGACCTTTAAACGCTACCTTCGAGAAATGACCTCAAAGACCTTGAAAATCATAAAGTCGAGCGCTTCAATTCTTTTCAGTCCTCTGGTCAATTCTGACATTCATATGACCTTTATTTCTTGAGATATTCAGCGAAATAGCCGAGGTGGATAAAAACGCCCTGTATACACTGGCTCAATGAGAAGATAATCTAAATACTCTCTCATTGCCACAATCTTTCCCATCAATAGTTCTTATGGGCTGATTTCTGAGTTGAAAATGTGTTCAATGTAAATTTTCTTGGACGATAAATTAGAGGGAATTCGCTATGGTGAAGAAGACATCATATCGGTTTTCCATGAGAATTGTTCTGAACAATTGCCTAAGTGGATTCATCCAATCAACGAAGATGCTGTAACGTATTATTATCTTCCATCTCTTGATTATCGACAATTGTCCTTGTTAGGATCTAGAAGATTCTAATGTAACGTCAACCCTAAGTACAATCAAGTACATTGTTAGAATCAATTAGTTGATCTTGTCGTTAAGAATTCATGACCAAGGTAACCTTTACATTTTGTATATAAAGTCTTGTGTAGGCAATATACAAGTAACCAGTTAAGTTCAGTTCACCTTTGTTAAAACAAACGTTATACCTTCAACTATTATAATTTACCCCTTGAACCCTTTCTTGATTATTTGCCTATTAAAGCTATTTTCTATTCTAAGTACGATCTATTCTAATGTCCTCTTTACGTTTCAAGAACCGTCTGTAATCCGTACATGTTTGGCCTTCGATAAAGGTCAGAAAGTAATGTAATTTTTGACGAATCAATTTTTCATTCTACATTTTCTGAGAGAATTTAGAGGTCAAAATTTGACCATTCGTTCCTGAAAAGTTTTATTGGAAGCGATTCTCTGGATCATATCGAGATGATTTCTTATCCCAATTCAGTTCTAATTTGTGACAAGAAAACCAAAACCATTTATCCATATGTGAAAGACACAGACTATTGGGAATTCATAATTAAAACTGAATCTTTCGGAAAGATGATTACAATTGTATCAATCAATTTACCGATTGATTCAGAATAATTAATGATTGTCCGAAATATTGATGGTCAATTGTTTGATGTTTCAATCTGAAAACACTTAAATAGCCAAGTTTATATGAAAAGTCTGCATCTCAGCTGCCTTTTGACGGAGTATCATCAAATCCATGACTTGAGTGTAACTTTTTGTGTTCTTTCACACGAAGACCTTAAAATGACCTTTAAACGCTACCTTCGAGAAATGACCTCAAAGACCTTGAAAATCGTAAAGTCGAACGCTTCAATTCTTTTCAGTCCTCAGGTCAATTCTGACATTCATATGACCTTTATTTCTTGAGATATTCAGCGAAATATCCGAGGTGGATAAAAGATACGCCCTGTATACACTGACTCTCAATGAGAAGATAATCTAAATACTCTTCTCTTAATTGAGATGGAAAGAACTCGATTTTTCACTTGGAACTTTTTTATAAATCAATTTGAAATTTTATCAAATGGTTGTTATTCAAACTCGTTCTCCATTACTATTACTTGATTGATTTATTAATCATTTCATTGAAACTTTCTCACAAATTAAATTGAAATCAAGGTAAGTCAGCAAAGGAAAAAGTTCTGAATACTTTTTCCCACAAATTCAATCAAATTTATATTTCCCATGGATTGTTTATTTCGTTGTAAAATTTAAAAAAATCAATTGTTGTTGAATATATTTTGAAATTTGATAAATTTCCCAATGATTTTATCACTTCATTGTCCTTATAGTGATTAAATGGTCAATTCAATGGATTCATGATGTTTTTGCACCGATGAACTATGGGCATAGCTAAGAAACCAGTAACTAGTAACAGTAAAATTCCCGCTCTCGCTACAACGATAAAAGAGCCTTCGTATTCAGTTCAAACGCCATTCTGTTCATCATTACCCCTACGACGGATATTTTGCTGGACTTTAACGGGCTTTGGACTCATTTGGCAAGTTTGGAGTATCTCAAGTGTCTACTTTCAATATGCAACTCGTGTGGACATTGACATTGAAGTGCCATCGCAATTATCAATGCCCGCTCTTTCAATATGCCTCAGTTTGGTCTACAAAATCGATGACCTTTATCCTAAATATTATCCAACCCGTGAATCAGTCCCACCCAAAACCGCTCTGCCCATTAACATACTCTCCCAATTACCGATTCCAAATATAACCATAAACTGTACGACTCCGTTTGATGAGCTCCCAAAATTGACCAAACCAAAGGCTACGCTTGTGAAAATTACTCGCCGATTCTGGTGAGCATTCATTATACCGAAGGTATTAACATTCGTAAATGTTTCACTTACTTTTATCGAAATGCAACTACTCCCGCCTTTCTGGTCAATTATGCCGATTCGAAGGATTTTTTTAACGTGGAACTGATTTCCAATGATAACATTTCCGTTTCCATTTTCGTTCATAACCCAATTGAGATTTTACTTGTAAGTGCCGCTGATACCTTCACCTTTCACACCAATGCCACTTCTGACCTTATATTATCTTCATCGAAATTGATTACGAAACTACTTCCATCGCCTTTCCGAACTGAATGTGTTGAATATCATGAAAAACGATTCGGTCGAACTGGTTGTATCTTCGACTGTCTTGAGGAAAGTTCGATGAGAGAATGTGGAGTCTGGCCTTCTACGGTTCCCGCTGATCCTTGGTTACCGCACTATTTCAATCGAGTGGATAAACCTTGTAGCTTAACGTTAGAACAGAAAGAGATTTGTACTTCATCGAAAGTAACTTGTCCCAACCAGTGTCTTAATCTTTGGTACACAACGACTTTGGTCACTCTTCATCAGCCCATTACACCGACAAATTTGACTCGTATCTTCATTCGTAGACCTTCAGAAGTTGAATTCACATACAGGTACACACCTCGACTTGATCGTATTGAATATCTTTGCTATGTTGCTTCTTGTTTCGGCATTTGGTTAGGAATTTCATTTCTCGATATCTTACAAAATTCAATCGTTGCCATGAAACGAAAATTGGCCGCACAAGAGCCTCAAATAATGGTCATCACACCAACTTACATTTACTTTTCTCGTAATCGTGTTAGTTCAATTTCCTCAACAATAACGACATGAAAACTACTTAGGGTTACATTTATCGTTTCATCTCATTCGATCCAAAATCAGATCACTTCATCCAATATATCCAAAATTTTATTCTCTACTGATAATTCAATCAATATTAATATTCTAAATAAAATCTTGGGTCCATATTCATCTTTGCTGATCAGCAATTGACTCAATTTTCATTTTTCCATGAACTTTATTTGTAGCAATTAACTCAACAAATAGAGATCAACTTTTGACACGAAACAGAGAGAAATTGAGAATAAGTTTATTTTATCAATCGTTACAATTTATTTGACAATTTCGGGCCATTTTCAGCTCATCAAATCTAAGCTGTTCTAAGTGATCCTAATGATATTTTACTTTTACCAGGATTTTTATGGTCAAACGGATTTAAGACCAAAATTTTAGTCTCCCGTCGGGTCATCCATGTATCAGCAAATTCGGATATTATATAGATTATATCGAGAAAGGAGATACCCAACCAGATACCAAAACACGAAGCAATGTAACATAGAAATTCAATTCCATTCATTCGAGGAAGATAAGTGTAGATTATTTCAACACCGAATGGACGTCGAACATAAAGTTCTGTCACATTGGAAAATGTTCTTTTCTCTTGATTAACAATTAAAGTTGTAGTATACCAATAGTTGATACACTGAGCTGGACAAAGGTCATTATTTGAACATTCAAACTTATTCTTTAAGTAACAATGTTTATCTCTTAGAGAAAATGATTCGGTTTGATCGATTTCCGCTGGAACTGACCAGGACCAAGCACTTTGACATTCTTTCTTGATTCGAGAAACTCGACATTTAAAGATACAACCAGTTCGACCATAAATCTCTCCAGAATAATTGTAACAACCAGTTCGATAGGGAGTTGGTAGTAAATAGGTGATCAATTTAGAAGTGGTCAAGATCATTCTGTCCGTTTGTTCAATAAAAAAGTGAAACGAATCTGCTTCCGATAAATGAAGTACCTCCATTGGATTGTGAATGTAAATTAAAACTGATGAACGATTAAAATTAAATATCGACTCTGCTCTATTTGTATGAATGAAAATTTTATAAAAATCTTTGTCATCTACTGAATTAAGTATATATGGTGACGGAAGTGTCAATGAGTAAAAGTAAGTTGAACATCTCCAGAAATCATCGGATCCACCATTGAATTGAATTGTTGTCTTAACTGTTGTATAATCTTCACACATCTCAGGAATATCTGATTGGGTTGATTGGTTTTGTTTCAAGGGTTTCAATTCAGGGAACGGAGTTTTACAAATGATCCTCACCGGTTGGGTCGGTAGTTGAGCTAAGACATTTATTGGAATATAACGGTAAATGGAAGCATTATGATTAACCCTTCGAGCCCAGTCGATAATCCCTCGAGCCGGAGGGTAAATCGTTTGAAGGTAAGTGTAATCAGTTGTTGTCTCAATCTTGAGGCACATCGTTAATCCTGGCATGGTGATTAGTGCTGGAGCTTCAATCTCCATGTCAACCTGAGTTTGGTACTTGAAATAGACTATGGATATTTGGTGCATTTGCCAACCTAATCCAATGGTTGATAAAATCCAGCAAATTAATCTGATTGTTGTTCCTGATCTGGTCTTCCTTTTAATTGCCATTTAGATGAACGTTGATGATACACAACAAGCACTGATACAAATCAAATTGCAATTAAGATGAAACAATCAATGTTATGTCTCAAACTTTATTATTATAACGATTGTGTTGATTATGTTGATCTGATTTCGAGTCACTTTGATTTCTGCTCACTGAATAGCTTAATAGTCTCAACATTTTTGATTACTACAATTTACTGATTGAATTTTACTTCTCAATGTTAATTAATCATCTCGATACTTTTTAATTGATGAATTTACCAGTTAATCTATCAAGTAATTGTTGACACTCTGATTTACTGAATCTTAGAAAAATGATTAACTTTTTGTTTTCATCTCTCGCAATTTGATTTATACCTTTTTTCTTTCAAGTCAACAATCGATTGATTATATTTTTCTTTTCAATTACAATTAATGTTAATTGTTATTATCTGGTTGACAGGAGGAGGGAAAACATAATGATTCGTTTTTACAATTCCCTTGGTCAACTAATTTAGTCTCCAATGTATTGATTAGCAGATTCGAAGATTTCTCATTCCTATTGTGAGAGGATCAATTAGAATTATCATTGATTTGTTTTTTTCGAGAAAATAATTAATTTTTCTTTTCGCATTTTCGACAATTAACCTAATCATTTGCCACCATTTTCTCAATCATGAAACTTTTCATCTTGAAAGTAAAGTTCTAACTCCATTTACAGGTAACAATCATTTTCGAGATCTGGTAAACATGTTTGTTGTTATTTCTTAAATGTTACCCAGTTAATTGTTGTTGAGAAATAGCTACAATCAGATTAACTTTTTTCTTATTCCTCGAAAAGGTCAGTCCAAATATCAATTATCATTAAATCATTTACAATCACATCTTATTGGTCAATAATTGTCTTGATTTTCTCAGCATTGATTCTTGATTTTTTTTCTCATTCTCTTGCTGGTAATAACTATTGGATAATTGAATAACGATCCATTAATTAGTAAATATAACTGAAGAACGGATAATAATCTTAAAAAGAATTTTTTTCTATGGAAATTCGATTAAATCATTAAGATAATTGCTTTGTTATTCTCGCTATCATTTGATTTACAGGGAGTTTTTTTCTCTCTCAATTGTTTGTTTTAAATTATTTATTCAGATTCACAACCGAAATGCACAGAATCCGTGAAAATTTTCACATCAAAACAAAATTAGCATTCAAAGTTGATTAATTAACAATTAATTTGAAATTTGGAGAAACTTATTTTCCCATATTAGCTATTTAGTATTAATATTCACTGAATAATTAGCGCCTTTTGAATGATTCCATTTCTGGGTAAGTCATGGAAACTTGGATCAATCTCAATTTTACACAATTCCGAATTGGCTTGGCCCCTGAATCCGAGTTCTATGATTGAAATTATAAGTATTAATTTGTATCTCTAATGAGCTTTTACCATGGAAGAGGAATTAAAGTTCAATGGTGAGATGTGTTTCCTTAACGCAGCTTCAAATAGGTATGGAAGCGATACGTTTACAGTTGGTAGGATAAAAGAATATGGATAAACGACATATTATTGTTTATTTCAAATTGAACAAATTGATTGTTCGAAAAATTTAGTCCATTTGAACTTTTTTTCCTGCTCGAAATCAAAATATTTTCCTGGACTGAAATTCTCCCCAGCGAAATCTATCGTCGATAAAAGTAACTACGGGGAAGAAGTGACGTAGCCGCAATAAAGTGTTTACAAATTTTTGTGCTGGAAAAAAGTCTCAACTGTTTTGATTGTTTTTCCTTAGTAATTTTTTTAATTAAATTAAAATTTCAACGATTGTGATAGTTAATTAGTCAACATGGAGATGCCAATTAGTTTCCATTCTAATTGATTGACTTATGATCGGTTTCATTTAGAAGATCAGTTTGAATCTTGGGTGTTTTACTTTTAATGTGAATGAAACATTTTGGAATATAATTATTTTCTTTTACCATTGATGAAATTTACTATTTTATTGGACAATTAAAAGGGTTAATTTGTTGTTATTATGGATATCAGAGAATCGATTGGAAATGGTGATACTGTGACTATTGGTGGCGATGGTAATATTGGCTCTTCAAGTGGAGGATTAGGAGGAGGAGGAGGAGGTGGTGGTGGTGGTGGTATTAGAGATGATAGATTAATATCATCTCCATCAACCAGTAGTTTAATTAATTCAAATTATATTTCCGCTCATCATCCAAATAATTCAATCTCTCACAATCACAATCAGCCTCATTTATCTTATTCTTCACCATCACCATTACTTTCACCAGACTGTTTGGATGACCATGATGAAAGTAAATCTCCAACCTTTGGCCGTTTCCTGGAGCGAAATGCAATCTACCTTTATGAACAATTTGTTAAAATAATCGAAGGTCGTGGTAAAGGATCACGTAGTCCATTTGTCACCTCTCTTTGTATATCACTTGTCGTTATTTATCTAATTAACCTGTTAACCAGTGAATGGGGAACAAGCGGATCATCTGGAAAAAATGGAAACAATAATAATCGGATATCATCTGAAAGTAATTCAGAATTTTTCTGGACCAATTTTGATTCACCAATAACCGAAATGTTCACTTTAACACCGGGTAACATTTTATCACCACGATTCTGGATCTGGTCAGCCATTTCCACCATAACCTATCCCTTAATTGAGCTTCATTGGTGGCAAGTGGTTAACGATGTACTCGCGATCTATTTAAGTTCAACCCTAATTGAACCTCTTTGGGGATCTCGAGAATTGTTTTCATTTTTTCTCATAATCAACCTTTCGGTTGCCTTTTTAACCACAAGCCATTACATAATACTCTATTCCATCTACGGGTCGGATGAGTATCTTTACAACGTACGATTGTACGGTTGCTCTGCTTATTGTGCGGCCATTTGTGTCTCCATTAAACAATTATTACCCGAATCAGTTTTAATTGGAACACCGTTTGGAAAATTTAAGAACAACAATGTGCCTCTAGCCGGTCTTTTTGTTCCCTCTCTTCTTTATATTCTTAACATTATCGAAAGTAGCCTGGTTCTTATGTTCTTCTATGGACTTTTGGTCAGTTGGATTTACCTGAGATTCATTCAAAATCATCCTAATGGTCATCGTGGTGATCTTTCTGATAGTTTCTCATTTGCCTCCTTCTTCCCAAGTATCTTGAAACCTGGTGTTTCAATAATATCTAATTGTATCTACTCCTTTTTCGTGGCCATCCGATTGTGTTCACCAATTGACAGTCGACAATATCAACCGTTAAGAGTATTAGGTGAACGTTTAAATCAAGAACATGATTCACAACCAATTCCCATGAGAGGTCATAAATTTAAGCATCATCAAAGTGGCGATTATCAATATTTATCTCAACCAATGCACGTTTAATGATCACTAAATTATGGTACTTTCAAGATTGAGATTGAACAGTAAACAACAACAACAACAACAACAATCAACGTAAATCAATGAAAGTAAACATGAATAATATCATTCGCTGCAACATTAATTGATCATCGTCATCATCGCTAATAAGATGAAATTTGGTCCAGAAATGATAAAGTTTGAACACCATTGAGAAGGAGGAGAAAAAAAAATTAACGAAAAAGATTAAATCTTATATCAAGAGCTAAATTATTTTAATACGTAAATAACTTTAATCATCATATTTCATCACTAACTGTCAAAATTGGTCAAATTTCACCCTTTCCCTTGATGACCTCGTATCCCTGTTAATCCCACTTTACAGCTACAATTATAAAGCATCACATCAAAATGTAAATTGTTTCCCATGGAAAGAAGATGATTAAGATAAAAATGGTGATATTTTCCAGCCCAATTAACGTCCATTAATTGCAGATCTTTCATATTCATTGATAAAATTAAGGAAATCCAATGAAAAGGATCAATACAATTACGATAATAATTTTGTTACCCTGTTTTTCATGATTGGAGCACAAAACAAAAAGCAAATCCTGAGAATTGAACATAAACAATTTACCGATTTAACTAATTATTAATTGCTATTATTGTAATAACAAGGAGAGAGAGTGAGACTTTCCTCCAGAAATTGGATCAGATTAATCACCGCAAATGATGACAATTGAAAGAGGATCTGGAAGACATTTCAATTTTTAATCTCTACTCTTAATCCAACAATCAACTGTGAGGTATTAATAATGTTACCTTATTTAAATTAGATAATAAATTGATTTTAAATTGTTTTTTTGGAAATTACAAAATCACCTTAATGTTGATTGTAGCGTAACAATGATAATCACAATCAGATCCAATTGAATAACAATAATGAGCTCTTTCTCATTGTAATCAATATGTTATATTCAAGGTTGACAATTAACCATAATCCTAATTAGATTTTGTTTCATCATCTCTGCATGTTAATTGTATTTAAATTGTCAGTGAATCGTCAACAGGATATGACAAACCTTGGGTCCGAAAAAGTTATTATATCAAATGGTTGGTAAATTTTGACAAATATAATTAATATTTTTCATCATCTAATCAAATTGCTAATCAACGAGCAAAATTTAACAATTAACTTTGTTTTTATTTGATCAACAAAATGTTTATTCAATGTAAACATTTTTTTTTTTACATAACCGGATATTTATCAATGATTAGACCTTAATATACATTTAGTAGGAGTTAATTGTTATTACTTGTCAAATTGATTAGACCAAAAGTTGTTTAATTAATTTGATTGTCCTTCTCTCTTGTCTGAGTTTTTATTATCATGGATAAAGGGGTATGTCAACCCTAAAATCGACCTCCGTCAAACACAAAATTAACAATTGTTTTAGTTAGAACATTTAAAAAACCTTCATCCGTTAGTCTTTAAAATTTGGTTCACAATCGGCGATCAAGTTTTGTTCGATCATAAATTAAACGATTCATCGATTTGCAGAATGTTGCCTGTTACGATCCATCGACGACAAAGCTCTAGGATTAGATACTATCCAGGAGATTGATCTTTTCTTTCGATCGCAGCTCATTTGTCGTTCACCGCAGGTTAATCAGATCAAACTAAACATAGCTCTATGTTGACCGAGTTTCGACAACTTTTCTTTGACCTGCTACAGCAGTTGATCTGATCGACACATACAACTTGAGAGCGTATAACTTCGGAATGAAACTAGATCACCCAGTTAGATCATTATGCTTCTGATTACAAGCGCACTAATATATCTAGAGATCAAAAGTCTATTTTATTGGAATTCAATACCCAACTTTTTGTTAACACGCTCGAAGTGGGGCAAATCTCACGATAAAGTCGGAAACTTTTGATCTCTAGATATATTAGTGCGCTTGTAATCAGAAGCATAATGATCTAACTTGGTGATCTAGTTTCATCCAGTGGCTCAGTTGTATGTGTCGAATCAGATCAACTGCTGTAGCAGGTCAAAGAAAAAAGTTGTCGAAAAAAGCTCGAGTCCAGCTATAGAGCTATGTTTGAGGTTTAATTTGATCTACTTAAATAAATTCCTGACGGTGACCTGACGAAATGAGAGCTTGTCGAAAGAAAAATGACCTCAAGTCCATATCCTGAGATAGAAAAATATCTAATCCTAGAGCTTTTGTCAGTCGATGGATCGTAACAAGAACTAACATTCTGCAAAAACGATGAACGGTTGGTTACATGATAATCGAAAAAAAACAAAAACTCGATGTAGCCTAACCAGAATTTTTTTAGAGCTTTTAAAAACGGATAGAGAGGTTTTATTAAATGTTCTAACTAAAACAATTGTTAATTTTGTGTTTGACGGAGGTCGATTTTAGGGTTGACATACCCCTTAATATTGTTATTTACTATTTTATCAAGGGAGATTTTTGTGTGTTATCAAACAGTAATCAATTTAACAATTTAATAATCTACCGTTGATAATTAGTTAAAAATGAACAATTAACATTTGAGCGATGATTAGTTGATCGGTGAGATATGGGAAGAGACATTGTGAGAGACAGAGAAAACAAATTGATCAGAGAAAAACTTGATAATGTCAATAAAGGTAAGTAATAATAAGATTTTGAGTATGATTAAGGTTAACCAATATAAAGGTGAACAAAGTTAATTAACTAACTAAATTTGATAATAGTGATTATAGATACATTTATATATATATCTCTCTGTTAGGGGATTTTCTTAGTAGTTATATTATTTACAGTTATTGACATAGACGATACTTATTCATGTTTATGTGAATCATTATGATTTAAAGAAACACAGAAATTGAAAATTTATCTACTTGGAAGAAGATAATGTTTAACTAATTACAGGGTGATAATTAAGTTCGTGTGAAAGGGGATGGGAATTGAGATGCGTTCGAATAATTAAAAATTGAAATTTGATTAACTGTACATCGTAACACTCCAAATACCTTTCACACGAACTTTTTTTTTTACCACCGTGTACTTGGTAATTTACATCCTTCCTCAATGAGATTATATAAATTTGGTAATGTTGCTCGAGGATCGGTTGTTTTGAGAGAAAGGTAATGTCTTAGTTGGGCGATATTCTTGTTTATCAGGTAAACAGCATAACTAAAGGCAATCCTTTTATCCTTGGAATTGGTATCGCAGTAAAGGGGAAAAACTCTTCCCGATTTATCTAATGAGGGATCAATATGATCAATAATACAGGAATTGGAACCATAAGGGATAAGTGAATATCGCAATGGAATATCTAAAAATTTCGATGTCATTAGAAGGAAATGACAAACATAACCAAGAGCCACCGATAGATGAAATGTATTTTTACCCTTGAAATCTTCGGAATCGGGAAGGTGTACATTACAAATGGAATATTTACCTGAGAAGAAAAAGAGAAAATAAAAAGAGAAAGAGAAACATTAGAATCATTCTGTTTTTCTGTCTTTATGTTTACCTTTATACAAGAAAAAAAAAGACAATCATTTAATGTAAATGGGGAAAATATGTCACATTTAAATGTCGTTTGTATTGTAAGTTGACCTCAATCTAATCTTGATACTTTAAGATGTAGATGAAAAGGATTTATATCAATAGACAACAAAAAATAATCTCTCCAAAGATGAATGTTTAATTTTTGATTGTTTACTTGTTTACTTGTTCAGCTGATTGTTAATGATATTAAAAAAGAGACTTAATATTTACCTTGATAGTTTTGAATTGGATAAATTTGACAAAGCTCCATAATTAGACTGTTTCGACGTAAGATGAGATTATAATTGTTACTGGCTAGTATTTGTTTCTCTTCGGCTAATTCATTTCGTCGGCTTTCCAGACATTTATAATCGATTCTCATTTGTTCCCTTTGAACATCCATGTCAATTGATGTCTCTTGGATTAATCGTTCATTTGAAGTTGATTTATCTTCTTGAGATTGGAAGCTTGAATGAGCTAGATTGTATTCTTGGTTTAGACATTTGATTCTTGCTTCAATCTCTTGTATATGGATTAATAATTCACGTTCACTTTCAATTTGATGAAGAATTGATTCCAATTTAGATTGTGTATCACTGATTAATTTATCTGTTCTTCGGATAACTTTATCAAGGACACATATTCTTTCAAATACTTTAAAACAATAGGAGACTCGTTGGTCTGAATTAGACATTATAAAAACTGTTAATTATCAGGCGAAGGTAGTAAAGGTGAATGGTGACTAATCACCGTCGATAATTAAAGATGATTATATATATAGTTAATAGAGTAACGAAGTGAGGGGAGAGAGAGAGAGAGAAAGACAAAATTGACACACTAAAAATACCCAATCAACAATTCAAGTCCCCAAGATCGATGAAGCAAAAACCAGACAAAATCGGCCATAAACATGAATGGTTGTGGTGGGAAATCGGGTTGAAATCATAATCCTTTCACGCTGTGAAAATGTAAAATTAGCAAGAAGATGGTAACCATGTAGACGATTTAGAGAGCAGCAGAAAAGAGGAATAGAACCAGAGATATATTGGAAAGATAGCCAAGAATAAGAATAAAATAATCAATATATCAAGAGACGAAAAATTAAATTTTGCCGAATAGAAAAATGTGCTTTCAATGGGTGGTGGTTGTTACACTTTACCAGAATAGAGAATCACTTTTTCCCATTAAGGCGCCACATCTAAAACAAATTCAGTTGAAATGTTCACAAATGGGTGGAAAATGAATTAGATAAACAGAATAGAAAATAATTGGATTAACAATTAAAACCACAAGAGAAAAAGAAAAATATGATAAAAACAATCAATTGATTAAACTAATTGTCTACATTGAGATGAGAAAAAAAAACAAATTCACTCACCGGGAGAAAGAACATTAGTGTCGCCATCTCATGTTTCTATTTGTAACTAAATAGAAAAGAATTTCTGTTTTCTTTTCTTCGGATCAGATATTCGATATTCGGATCTCTTTTAGAAAACATGATTTTCTGTTTATGTTCAATTCTTGTTTGGAAACAGTTACAACAACATCTCTCTCCCTCTTTCTTTCTCTCTCTCAACGAGTTTACTGAGTTTCGATCTGATTGTTGTTTAAATTGTTAAATGATTAACTGTTAAAGATGATTTTATGTGTGGATAAGTGAATTAATCTATTTGAACAGTTTTTCTTCAATTGTGTTAATTTGTTGGGCAGATGAAAATGTCATGAGATTTTCTTTCTCATTTTCTAAGTGACGGTGATTTGTTGGGGAGAAAAGAATTTCGAATGGCATAGAGAAAGAGAAAATTTGACTCAAAGAATAGAAAAAAAAATTACAATCGAACATTGTGATGAACAAATAATTGTTTTTCTCCTTCTACATTGTTTTATCTTCTTCTTACTCTTTTATTTTATTTTTTATTCTTTTCTTTGACATTTATTATTATCCTTTTTTTTCAATTTTCTTCCATTTCCAAGTAAATAATATATTACAGTTTCTTCGTCTCTCTCTCTCTCTTTATTTCTCTTTGCGAGAAAGTGGAGAAAATCACAGAGAAAAATCAAGAAAAAAAAGAGACAAAGTTCTCTCTTTTCTCCCTGGTTTCCATTCTTGGTCCTCTCATCGGAAGAATCATCATCAATATTAACTAATCGACATCATCAACATCATCCATTACTCACAATTTATATTCTTGTGACTCTTCAAAACTCTCATCGTCTTCTTATCATCAATAATCTTCTTCTTTTTCTATTAATCAACAATAGATAAATTTATAAAACCAGTGAATGTACAACTTGTCCAGAAGAAAAAGAGATCAACATTAATCCAATTTGAAAATCTTTTTCTCTTCTCTTTATTTTTCATTCTGGTTAACTTACCCCAATACATTTTCTCCAGCAGTGGTTTGGACAAGTGAGAGAAAATAAAATCTCGACACTAATTACATTCGTTTTAATTGATTTATAACCTGATCCAAAGAGTAATAAGTATAGTATCTCTCTCTCTCTCTCTGTCTCTTAATCATCTCTTCAAATCATCATGTGTTTTTAGTGCTTTATCATCATCCCAATCTTCAACTTTAATTCTTCATTCTCTCGATTTATTTTATAATCTCTAATCATCATAACCTTCAAATCCAATCAACAATTTTTTTTTCTCCACTGATTTTCTTGTGTATTTGTTGTTATCAACTTTAGCCAATGGCAACAGGATATATGCTATTAGATACAATTATTGTTATATTGTCACAGTTTGATAAAACAGAGAGAGAAAGAGAGGGGATGACGAGAGAGAGTAAAGCAAAAAGTTTAAGTGGATTTATCTTCTCTCTTATCTTATTAACTGTCTCTCTCTCTCACTTTTCTTCTCCATTTCTGTGATTTCTTTTTCATCATCATCAACCGATTATTAAATCATCATCGTTCTCCATTTCTATTACAGCTTCTCTACTCTGTCTAGTTATTTTTTTCTTCTTTTCGATTGATGATTAATCCACAGTTTGATGATCTTCTATTGTCTTCAAGTTGATAATGTACCTGAATTTATATGTCACACATAATTATTACCAATAGTGATTGATTCATCTGCTTTTCTTTGCTCAGTTTTGATTACGAACACAAATCATCTTCATTAATTCATCTTATTGATCGTTGAAAACCAAAGTGAACACTTTCAATTTAAACTCGTTCTTTAACTGGAACAATAAAAACTATCATCACCCAACACCCAAAGTTCAACAATTTAACCCTCATCATCTCAAGGTATGATTATAATTAACAATATAAAAACACTAACCATCAATTGAGAAAAAGGTTATTTATATTTCTTTGTTTTTTTTTCATCTTTACAGAAAATCGAACGAGTTTTTTTTTGGTTCTATGAGCTTAACTGTTTAATCAAGTCCAGCCATAAACTTTGATGACCAGTCTAAAAAGATTAATCAATCTGATTACCTAAAAGCAAAATTAATCATTACAAAGTACAATTATCATCCCCAATCACAACCCGTTTACTTGGCCGAGAGAGAGAGAGAATAATAAATTTCAAAAGGACCAAAAGGAGAATTAAAATTCTTAATGAGAAATGAAACTTCGCGGTGGTCATCGACTTAAAATAATCTATTTCAGTGTATTACTCGCACTGATACCCGCCTTAACCATATTGGTACTTTTCACTGGTGATATTACCAATGATCGATCAATATCAGGACCGTCTAAAGAAGCCATATTACAACAACAGCTGATTGAACTGAAAGAGAAATTAAATCACGTTGAGATGCTCAATCAACAGCGTAAAATTGAGGTTAACTATTTAAGGGAAACAATGAGAGCCGTTTCATCAAATGATAGTAAATGGTTTGATTCATCATCATCTTTTAGAGAATCAATCAATAATCTTGGTGGTAACAGTAATGGAGGTGGTTTTGGAATCGCTGGTTCCAATATTGGATTAGACATTCCCTTTCAAGGTCGCTCAGTTTCATCTGATCAAATTGAACTACCCACCCTAGTCCACTTTTTACCCCATCTACTAAAATCTTCTGACCCATTGACCCCTGCTTTCCGTCGAGCCTCATCTCGTTATCCCAATGGTCGGCCTGGAGTTACCTGTGTCCTTGGTATACCAACAGTGAGACGACCCGTTCAATCATATCTTGTACAAACAATTCGTAATCTAATTAACAACCTTAATCCAGCAGAAAGAGAGGAAACATTAATTGTTGTCTTCATTGCTGAGGTAAGTGTAACCATTTCTAATACACTTTAATTCAACTTATTTCCCTCTCTATCATCATTATCATTTTTTATTTACTTACAATTTGCTACAAGAGAGTCAAAAAAAATACTCAGTGTTAATTTTCATACTATTGTTGTTGTTGATTGTCACCCAAAAAGTGTTCCTCTTGTTATCATCTCATTTTAATGGTTAAACTCATTGAACATGATGATAAATCTGTATCATTCTCTCTTTGCATGGTAATGATTTTATCTTGAAATGTTTTATCTTTTTCTCCATAGTAACTCATTGTTACAATTGGAATTTTTCTTCTCCATTTCTATGTCTCATTTACTCTGATTTTGTTGTGATAAAGATGCTAGAAGAAAGAGAGAGAGAGAGAGATGATGTAAATAATCATCTTTCTCCTTCACTTTTGTTTTAACATGTATTCCCAGTTTAATGACCTTAATCATGGCAGAAATTATCATTACTTTCTTTGCATTTTGATTCATCATCATTAGCTGGTTTTACTCAAACTTAATCAGCTGAATGTTTTTGTTTTTGTTTTTGTTGACGCTTGGGATGTTCGGGGTGATGATAATTTAGTTTGTTGAAACAGAAAATCATCTTTCCCAAAGACACAATCTTGAAAACTATAATAACAATTAAAAAACATTCACATAAAAATTAAAGTAGAGTGATTAAGAATTAAATATTAAATGAGTTGTTAATTGTTGACTTAGTTTTAAGTATTAGATACAAAGGTTTTGCTCCTAATTCTGTTTATTATAATCTCTTTTTTTCTTTGTTAATTGATTGCAATACAAACAGTTACTTCATCTTTGTAATTACTTGAGAAACTTTCTTTCATGAATCGACCACTATCCTGATTGAATGAATTGTATTTTGTTTTACCTGTTTTCGAGTCACGATGTTGTCCTTTTCTTGAATTTTCGCTGTTCCTTAAATATTATTGTGAAAAAAGTGAATTTGAAATGAGATTTATCAACTTTTTCATGAATATCCTCAATTTTGTTGTGGTGATCATGAAAAAGATTACGAAAAAAATGAAGACGATGCCAGAATAATGTTAGTATATTTAATGATGATTATGTTTAATATTCATTATTATCACAGTTTGATAAAGATGAAAACTTGAAAAGGAAAGAGTTTATTTGGCTTGTGAGTGAATGTACCGTTACTTTTACTCATCCTCATCCTGTAAAATGGGGTCACTATTATTATGATGACGATTCACTTAGAATCAGGTATCCGGATCCTGAATTTTCATCACTTTCTGATATTGTATCTTTTCAGCTTTTTACCATCGTCATAATGGTGATAACTTTTTCTTTGGCATTTCCTTTATCTATTACATCATTGTGATTATTTTTTATCATCAATATCATTGTCATTAATGATCAACAATTTACTTGATTCCTTTGTATTAATAGTTAGATCATCATTGTAATTGATGTTTTATTTTTACTATTTTATTGATTCTTTCTAATAATAATAATAGTTCTTGTGATGAAGATGTATTATCTTGATCATTTTTCTCTTATTCCATGGAAATCAATCTTGTCTTATGTCAATCAATGTGATTTCCTGGTCTTTTTTACATCTAACTCATATTTCCATGATAAAAGATCTCATCTTACTGATTGTTGCGTAGATTGTTAAAAGATGACGATAAATAATAGCAATTAAAAGCAAAAAAAGAGAGTATAATCCATATAAAGTTCCTAATCTCTTTGATTAATCTAATCTTTAATCATTTCCAAACGTTGCCTCTTCACTATGAGATTAACTATTGTTTGTACAATATTTTAATTGTCCCACTTAGCGATTCTCAGTTGTAATTGTTTTTATTAACAAAACTTGTTTATCTTCATTCATATTTCATCAATTGTTGGAGAAATAACTTATTTTTCATGATGATTTAATCATCTTTGTAAACATGAAAATCTTACACAACGTAATTACAATTTTCTGATTGATGAATCTCTTTCTCTCTCATTTAATATTAATTTTATTTCTCTCACTTTTATTTTTATATGATAACATTTCTCATTTTTCTTGATAATATTCATAGATATTTTTATTTTCTCATACTCGGGACAAAAGTTTCCAGAATTAATTTAGATTAATTTGTTTGGTGATTAACTGTTTCCCACTTAATTGTAATTAACTGTCAAAAAAGTGAAACCGTAACAAGGTTTTTCTTTGAGCTTTTTCATTTTCTTTTAAACTTTAACTTAACTTTTTCTCTTCTCTTATGATTCTCTCCATGTATCAGCTGATGAATTTTTTTCTCTCTACCACCCTTTATGATTTGTTCACCCTGATTGACCTACTTTCATGATCTCTTACTATTATCACCATCATAAACTGTAACAACAGCATGATAACAATAACCAATTAATCAGAATTAATCTATTTCGCTATTTAATCATTTCGTTTTGCTATCATTTGTCTTGAATTGTTTTCTTTTTACTTATCAATCTACTTTATTTATAAACAAACAAATCTAATTGTTTGTTATTCAATTTCAATCGTTGGTGACCTTTCACTTTTTATATTGTCGTTTTTGTAGTCAAACAAAAACAAAATGTCAAGTTAACTAATTCCACTTATCATGATGTCGATTAAGTCTGATCATGATGATGATGATTTCGTGTGTAAAAAATAATCTTGAGAAAGTTAAAGTAACAATTAATAAAGTAACTTGATATTATTATGAGTTAATATTTAATTACTTTAACAAATCAATTATCATGTCTAACAGGAGTAAACAATTTAATATAACTTTCATACAGTATAACCTTAATTAATAATTTTAGACAACAATTAATTATCTAGAGGTCAGAATAACTTTTACCATTTGAGATTCATTTGAAAAGCTCATTGTTCTTGATTAAGTTATTAATATTATCATTATTTTGAGTTTACTTTCTTAATTGTAATAGATTAGTGTTCAGGTTGGATTTTTTTATTTCTCATCTACCATCATCATCATAATCATCATCATCATCATCATCAACTTAATCATCTGTCTTGAGATTTAAATGATTCAATCTAATACATGATCATCATGTTTAAGCTTTAATAATACTCTGAGGAAAAAAACGAAAGTTTCAGCAATGGGAGTTAAATTATTTCTGCTCATCATAATGATCACTTGTAATTATTATTTTCAATATTAATTACAATTACTTGAACTTGAAACTCTGAAAGTACAGTTAATTGTTATTGGTTGAACAAAAAATTCAAACCAAATCAAATTAGATTAACTAATAGCTATTGAACACACACACATATATACAAAAAAAAAGTTTAATTGCTAAACTGAATTTAGGTTAACAACTTGGTTGTTTAAATATTAAATATCTTGATTATTGCTAAATTTATACCAACTGAATCAACTTGATGATAACATTTGATTGTGATTTTATAATAAAGCCAATTATAACACTTTAAATCTATTCTAATTAGAAAATCGATAATTTCAGCAATTTAATAATAATACACTCCCAATGAAATGAGCTCATTATATTCAACTATTGATCTAATATGTTACATAGGAAGAGAGAGTGAGAGTTGACAAAACAAATTGTCACATTTAGAATACATCTCAGAATTAAATTAATTGCAATTGATTGTGTAGTTAATTTTGATCTTTCTGTTGATGATCAAGGTTGACAAAATCAATTGTAATTTAGTGATTATGTATATTGATATTAAGGTAATCATCAAATTTGTTGCGATAAATATTAATAACAGTAACTTTCCATTAGTTTAAATTGTTTATCATCTTAAATTGAGTAACAACACTGATAAATTAAATTTTCAAACCATTAATATGTTACTAAATTGTTACCATGCTGAGCCCTGATATTATATTCACATAAACATAACCTTGTCAAACACAAAGTCCTCATCAATAATGATGATGATGGTGATGATGAGGATGAAGTTGATGTAGATGATATCAAACAACAACAATACATGGTAATCAATAAATTGATCTGATATTATCATTTTATCACCATTAAGCCAACAATTGAAATTGCATTCGTCCAGATATAAGGTTTTGACAATTGAACAATCAAATAATAATAATGAACAATTCATGAAGACAATTGAATGTTTGAATTAAAAATACTAGAGAGAGAGAGAGAGAAACTTTTTCCAATTAATTACAATAATATTATAATTATTATTATATATTATGCATTCGGTGTTATATCAACTTTAACAATCGCCATTGTTAAAGAAGCAAATGATCATTTAATTAATTGATGATGATGAGCAATTTAATTAGCTAGAGGAGTAGAAAAAAACAATAGTTAAACTTACAATTAATCTCAATTGATTTTCATTTCAATTGTGATTAAAATCAATTCCTATCTTCTATTGAAGAAAAGATTTCATTGGAAACATGTTATGTTTCTCAGGACGATTTTCAATGAGATGAAATGTGATTCACAATTAATATTCCAGAAAAATAACAATCAAAGATCAATTTTTTATTCCATATAAAAAGTAAAATTAAGATGAGAATATAATTTTAATTATGAAATGATGAATAAGTTTTTTTGGTTCTTAATTAATACTATTGAGAAAAACTTCTTGATTTTCGTCAAATTTTTGTCAACTTTAGTTAGAAGATTATTTTATGAGAATCGCTTTTTGTAGTAAATTGAGCCAACGATACCTGCAGCAAATGCGACAACGAAGAAAAATGAACCTAAACCCATAGCGACACCAAAATGATCTGAACCTTTGACGACTTTCGAGTTTTGCGCAATTTTGGCCTTATTTAGATAAACTGAACAAGCTGTACTTGTTGAATCTGCCGTAACGAAGTTGTCTGAGCTTGATGATGAGAGACGACAGGTCACTCGTAAGTTTTGTCCATTTGTTGATGATTCGCAATATTCAAATGAATTACAATTTCCATCGTCAGAATTACAATCAGAAGCGCATCTTTCAAGACTAACATCACTTATCTCTTTGAGTATTTTAACGGAACCTTGTTTATATTGACGACCAACATAATGGGTGTAATCTCGAGATAATCTCACTGGAAAACAAAATGGATTATCGTTAGAATGAAATATTTCATATCCAAATATCAATAAATGATTTTACCTGCATAATGGTCACATGTCGATTTACTAAAGTCCCAAACGGCATCTTTAATCTCATGAGCTGTGTCCTCAACGGCATGGAATTGGTGAAGGAAACATTCAGTCCTAGAGTCGAAATAGTTTAATAGTTTAGAACCAAATTGAGATCGAATTCAATCAGTGGAAAACTTACTTTGATTCTGAGGTCGAACTACAAATGTCAAATGATTTACAAGGGAATTCAGTTGATTCGTAGCATCGACGAGCACATTCAGATTCATCGATGTTTGGAATAGTAGCAATTGCGTCTTTTACGAGACTTTGTCCAGGGAATTTACGATAAAAGGCAATGAACGATTCTGTTATAGATCAAATGAGAAAAAAAGTCTTTAGATGTTAAGTTGTGTTTCATTCGTTTAAATATTGACTTACTTTCGAAAACGTCACAACTATCAGCATGTGAAGTTTTATCGGACAGAGATTTGGTCAAATTGGCTTTCGATTCGGTACTTAGAACACACTCTTTGTGTTGATTGAAACAATATGAAAGTGAATAACAGTCATCATCATTTTGACACAGTTTAAGACAATCTGAATAACTAACAGAATCAACAGTTTCCCCAGAAGATAAACGCGAATCAGAAACAATAACACTGTATTCATCACCCTTCAGGGGAGTAAAGAATCATCGAACTCCTCTGCAACTCCACCAATCTCTTCAGGTCCACTGACAACGAACATATCTTCCGCCGATAATGAATATTTGGACAATACGAATTCACCAGAATTTACTTTAGCCTTGATTTGGGATAAAATGTTTCGAGTAGAGGCTAAAATGTTTCGATCGATGGCGGATTCGGGAGCATCGTAGGTTCGCTTTTGGTACCAGGAACATTTATCATCTGTGACTACTGATGAATAAGTTACCGTGGAAACGAAAATTTGACAATTTAAATCGCTACAATATGAAAACTCTTTACAATTTGGATTGTTGGTACAAACTTCGCCACAATCTTCTACATGGTCTCTAATTAAGATGGAAGTTGGATTTTCGATTTTGTATTGTTCTGTTGTTGAATAATGGAATATGAATGGAGGTCGTTCCAATAGTTTGGCAGTAATATAGTAATTGAAATCGTAAAGATTAACGACAACCTCAGGTATACGAATCTTGGGAATGAATTTTTCCAAAGTTTGTTCAAAATAAGTTCGTATGTTGGTCAAATCTTTGGTATTTGTTCCTGATGAAGCATCGGACATGACAATTTGGAACCAGGTAAATTCACCGGGGCCATCGAAACAACCTGATACATCAAAACGATCGGAAAGATCAAACTCTGATTCAGTATAATCGATAAAGACAATCTCAATTTGGTTCGGAACGGGATATGACATTGAAATGTACTGTTCGTTGTGAGGCTTGATTATTATTTTCGCTGGGGCTTGATTAGGTTTTTTAGTTCTGTCAATTACTGGGAAATAGTAGGTTACAGAGGCATCCATGTAGTTATCATCTGAGAAAAATGAAGTCAGATCATCTTCCCATACATCCATAAGTCCACCATCAGTGGTAACTTGTCCCATATAATTTGACCATTGTCCACTTATGTCCATTATGGATTTTAGTAAATTGAAACTAACCTGTTTGTGAAGTGGCCATGTAACAGCTAAATCACCAACAAATATTTCCTCATAATCTAAATCTTGAGCTTTACATTCACCAGTTTCAGTGTTTACTATATATCTTCCCATGTGGGCAGGATTTTGAATGATTCGAGTTGTATTTGGACCATCGCTGATCTCAAATGAATAAGTATCTTGATATTTCATCATCCGAAGGGAGGAAAGTAAAACTTGATCAGGATTATTGTACATTATCATGGCTTCAGCATCAAGTGAAAACATTTCACTATTCAAAAACGACGGTAACTTAGGTTGATCTTTGGCCTGACGATAGCAACCATAGCCAATTGGATATTGAACTACATCGTTAACCGTATTTGCTACTGGAGTAAAGATGAGGAAATTGTAAACATGAGGATCGGTTAAATTTTTAGCTGAGCTTAATGAAAATCTAAATGGTAAATTGTTTGAAGCTTCGAACCACCAATCAAGGTTAATCTCGTCGCTCAAGCAATGGAACCAATGATTGACAGTTCGACCATCAATCCTATCAGATCCAAGCCATTGAGCTTTATCACTGACACTTGCAGCATAAGTCATAAGCACAGAGGGACCGAGAATGTCCAATGAACCAAACAAATCAAGCTCATCCTTAGCCGCTTCAGGACTAATCCAATCATTGATAATATTATACTTTACTTCAGTTGTAAGTTCACTTGCCGGACAATCTTCGGGCTCAACTATATAGCTTTCCTTGGTTGCCTGATAATAGTAATGACTTCGAGTTCGACCCTCGTCCACCCAATCGATATCAAAAGTACCATAAAGCTTAGCACCGTTGTAAGTTTCGGTGATCATGATAGATTCCTCTTCGGGAGTGATTATCTCAATGGTGGCTGAGTAACCTTTCTGATCTTTGTTGAGTGATAAAATATCGGGAACTTTTTTACCTCCTACAGTACCTTTTTTTGGACAATCACCGTTAATTGAATTAACGGTGAAACAAGAAAAGGTGACACAGATAATCACAAAATTAACTTTAGTAAACATTTTCACGAACAATCAAAAAAGAAGATCCCAAACAATTAGTTGATTTGTGTTTTAAATGTGAACCTTTTAGAGGTGGAAATGTAAATGATTAATGAATTTATTTTATAATTGAAAGAAATCAACAGAGGTGTAAACTAAATTAAACCAAATTTCATCGATAAAATTTTATTCAATCAATTATTGATTAATTAATTGGTGTTGACGATTTATCTTGAAATTAATGGTTTCACTAATTAGGTTTACTTGTTTTGTATCAAATGTATCAAATGTTAGTCGCTTAATCATTTGACTTTTTCATTTATTGTTAATATTAATCAGTTGAGTTAATTGTTCAGGGTTGAGACTGATTATCTTGTCTATTTGAAGGTGTAATGGATAACATTTGAATTACTAATCTCTATTATTTTTATTTTCTAATCAATTGTAAATGATTGTTACAATTTGATTATTTGTTTACTAATTATGATGATAACGAATACACCCACGGGATATAACTATCATTATGTTGATTGTTACCAACTAGTGAATATTTATAAGAGTGTTTTGTACGTGAATTGTAATGACCTTTTTTCAAACGTGAACTGACCAAAAACATTGGAGATCTAAGGTTAATCCTTGACCCTGAGATCGTTGTAACTTTTTGGTAGATCCAAAAAAGTTTGATTCCAATGGGAAATACAATCAAGGTAAAGAGATAAGGTCATTACAATTAACTGTTTCATAACTAACAATTAAGATAATCACTAATTTTGTTGATCAATTCTAAGAAATCAAGTTTATTTTCATTCAATATGTTTCCATTTAATTGTTATAAGTGAAGGTGTAAAATTGATTAACTAATTGCTATCATGATATAATAAACGCCTAGAGATCGGTTGATAAAATAATGAAGAAAAAAAAACCTAATTGTTTATTTAGAGTATTTTATCAATTTAACAAAATGGTAATTGAATCAGAAATTTTTAAACGGAAATTAAAGGGTGTCCCGATAGTTTTTAAATAGAAATTAAAAATTACCGAAAGTTTCAGAGTTAAAAATTCCATGTTATTGATCCAACTTGCTAGCGCTTCGAAAAAATGACCTGATTCGTTTAAATTTAAACTTCGATTATTTAACTAAGGTTTTATTAATGATTGGCCACGAAAAAGTAACAGTTACTAAAGAGACATCCATTTATTAATGTTATGTGGTAGCTTTTTGATAATGTTCAATACTGTTAATGATTTCGTATCATTTGCTTACAATTAATCAACAATCAGTTTACTTGTACTGAGAGATTGAGTATTTTGCTTTTAAATGTTTATTAAATTATTTTTTTGAGCATAAATGAAACCAATGGCACCGATAGCGAATGCTAGGATAAAGAAAAACGAACCAAATCCAAAGGCCAAACTGGTTCGATCCTTTTGCTCTGGTTTGATATTTAGTTTATCTTTATTTCCACTTGATTTACTAATTTTCTCTTGATTGACGTAAATTGAGCAAATTGTTTCGTCCGAAAGTGATTTATCGAAATACTTTCTAAATTCTGGATCATTTGTGTTCGAAATGGTTGTTGGTTTGAAATTGGATAAACGACAAGTTGATTTAATAATAATCGAAGTAAAGTAAAACATATCACCCGAATCATCCTCAAGGTTTTCAGGCTTCTCACAATATTCAAAAGTGTAACAATTAACTGGATTAGAATTACATTTTGCTGCACACTCTTCTAAAGGTAACTCTTCATAAGTACCAATAACCTGAGTCGCTGGACTAAATTGATGGGCTACAATGTGCCTGTAATCGTGATCAGCTTTTTCTGATTGAAAAAAAGAAAACGTAAATTTGAATGAAATTGAATGAGACTAAATTGTTTATCTTACTTGAGAAATGGTCACATCCACTTTCAGCGATTTTCCAATTCGTAATATTAACTGAATGCTTTGGATCGGCTGTAAGATGATTGACATGTAGGAAGCAAACTGAATCATTTCTGATATTAAAAGCAGATTAGTAATGAATCACTTTTGTGAAATCGAATCTAATTTAGTGATTTACTCACTTTTGGAAATGGGAAGAACAGTAATCAAAGGATTCACAATTGAAATCTTTCGTATTGAGACATTCTTTGGCACAATCAGTGAACTCAATGCCCTCTTTGATTGCTGCAGCATCAACATCCAAACTCTTACCAGGATATTTAGTGAAATAGTTTGTGAAGGATTCTGAGAATGAGAATTTGAATAATCAATCATTACGAATTTAATAAGAGACTACAATTAGATCAGTACTCACTTTCATAGATGTTACAGCCTTCGGCTTTATCTGTCAATGTTTCTGTTGAGGTCTCCAAGTTGTACGTTGTCTCTGAGGATAAGATACACTCCTTGTTTTGATTTGGACAATATGAGAGTGAATTACAATCATCATCGTTTTCACATAAGCTTAAACATTCAAGATAATCAATTTTGATTAAGGTTGCAATTCCAGAATTTAGTCTACGATCAGGTTGAATTAGAGGGTATTCATCACCTTGAAAGAAATTAGGTAAATCATCAAAGTCTCCAACTTGTTGTTCAGTTAAATCACCAATCTCTTCAGGTCCATGGACGATGAATAATTCCTCAGCACTAGAAGAAATCGCTCTGACAACGAGTAAATCCTGATCGATTTTACGACGAATCTGATGTAATACAGATTTCATTGAAGATAAAAAGTTCTGTTTGACAAAATCTGAAGCCTCATTGTGAAACTCGACTGAATAATGAGTACAACCCTTTTCATAATAGACTTGTGTATAACCATTAGAAGTGGTCATTGAACAAGTAAAATCAGGACAATAACTGAACTCGAAACATGCTGGATTCGAGGTACAAGCTTGTTCACAGTCTTCAATTCGAGGAGACTTGACAATCATATCGGGATTTTCCAATCTACCATCTTGATTTGGTCTATAAGCTTCGATAAAATGTATTCGATCGAGAAGTTTAACGTTCACATAGAAATTATAATCTACAGGATTAATGACAATATCAGATATTCGAGTGATTGGGATAAATTCAGTGAGAAATTCGTGAACTTCACTACGAAGTATCTGCAAGTTGTAGGAAGTTGAAGATAACGATGGATTCGAAAACACAAGTTGAAACCAAGTGTACATTCCGAAATCTTCGTAACATCCGGAGACATCAAAACGATCTTCAAAGTCAAAATAATCTCTTCTAAAGTCAATGATGGTCACTTCGATTTGATCTGGAGTATCAGTTATGTAATTTTGTGAGCGATCTTTTGTAAATACAATTTTTGCTGGAACATTATCTGGATCTGTTGAACTGTTCGAAACAGGATAATGATAATCGACTATGGCATCGATACTATTCCTTATGAAGTTTTTTGCTCTATATTCTTCAATTATTTCTGGACCAAGATCAAAGGTACCAACGTAAGATGGTCGGGCCTCTGTGGTTGGTTTCATGACGATATAATAGAGAAGATTGAAACCTCGATCCTTAAAGAAAGGCCATCGAGTGACCAAAGTTATATGAGATTGATAATCTGATGTGTAGTATTTACATGATCCAGTAAATTCATCAACTTCCCATCGACCCAATGGAGGTGGATTCTCAATCGACCTGGTAGTACCTTCACTTTCCGTTATTTCGTACGAGTAAACATCGCGATGTTTCATAACACGAGCTGTAGATTTGATAATTTCCCCATTAGGATATGTTATAACGGCTTCCATGTCTAAAGTGAACTTTGTTATCGATGTAAATTCGGGTAATGGTTTTTGCCATTTACTATCTTTTCGAGCGCAACCATAACTGACCGGATAAGGCATCGGTTCGTAAGGTGAAATAACCAAAGGCTTAAAGATGAAAAAGTTGTAAACATAAGAAGAATGTCGACCTTCCTCTGTTTGGACAGTCTCATTTCCGAAAGTTTCCGACTTTGGATAGTAAAGCGAAAATCGGTATGGAAACGAATTCTCAGTGTCGAAATAAAAATCGATATAAGGACCAGCATCTTCGATACAGTAAAACCAATGATCTATCGAACGACCATCAATCAATTCGGTTCCAATGAACGAAGCTTTATCGCCTATCGAATTGGCGTAAATCATCAACACAGAAGGTCCAAAGTGGAGAAATTCTTTGAAAATTTCACTTTTTTCCACGATATCTGCTGGTTCGAACCAATCTTTTATCGATTCGACCTTTTCAGATTGTGTCAAGTCCATTCGCGCACATCTATTATCAAGAACTGCAATTTTTTCCTCTGTATCATGGTAATAGTATCGACGATTCATTCCGTCCTGTCTCATGGCCTGCAAGTCAACGAAACCAAATCTACTATCGACGTTAAAATATTCGTGGACCAAATTTTCGCGATCCTCATTATTCACCTCGACGGTCGAATAGTAACCATTTTGTTTATCGATTAGTTTCAAAATGTCGGGAACTTTTTTACCTTTTTTGGTTCCAATCGATGGACATTTAAAATCATCACAATTAACTAATAATATAAAACCAATTGAAAAGAAAATCGTTCGCAATAGAAAATTGTTCATATTTCGTATGAATTAATTACTTTTGCTTTTCAGCTTCAATATTAACTTTTAATTGTAAGAGACAATTTATTCTGATTGTTCAAAATCAATCAACTTTTTTTTGTCTTCTCTTTAACGACAATTAAGGTTGATTATTTAGTGGGCGTAAGGTGTTAATAACAATATAAGTTAATTGTTGATTAGTTTTATCATTTAGTAAAATTGTTTTCTAAATGCAAAGTGAATTCAATTGTACGTTCACAAATATCGCGTTGATTGGAAAACAATTAATCTTTACGATAAAATCATATTACTAATAATCAATTATCACCAATGATAAACGTTAATTGTTAGGTTGTTAATTAAGGTGAGAGATTTTTTTCATCAAAGTGTTAATCATTTGAACGCCCTAGAACTTGCAAGGTAAATCTTGCGACCAACATGATCGCTTTTCTCTGAGTAAATGCTAAGCGATTGAATGTGATCTTTCCGTCTTTTTTTGTGGTCGAACGGGACAACCGTTACTTTTACCTTAAGTTGAACAGAATAATCAAATGTTTGATTAACCTCTCGAAGTTTTAATATCCCCGAGGCGTGCGATCGATTACAATTAAAAGACTTACATTCATCTGATGTTGTTTTTGAATACTCTTTGCAAAACCTTATTTGCTAATCTATTCAAACCTCCCACCGGTGGAAAAATTTATATCAATATATTTACAATATTGATCTATTATTTTCAATGGAAAACCTGTCAACATGAACTTTCAGTTTTTACCATATTGATGTTGATCATCTTATTGGAATGATCATGAAAAGTTTATTTCAAACCATGATCATCAATAGTAACAATAAATGATAATAATAATAATAATAATACAAAAAGAGATGATTGTTGAAAGTTAAAGGGAAAAATAAGTGAGCTGTCATTCACAAAGTTGATGCTTTTTTTGTTTGAAGTGATTGAAAACACTCACCAAGTTTGGTTGTATTTTGTTTACCAAAATCAAAACAATAAACACATCATGTAAACAATTAAACTGTAAACTGATTGTTTACTGTTGAATATTGAACAATTTTTCTCATCTAATCAAAGTTGATGCGGTGAAATATCAATTTAGTCTATGATGTTTTCATTTTTCCATATTTGTTATTTTACTTTTTACATTTGTTTTGTTAACCTTTTCCTTTACATTTGCTAATCACAATATTTCATTTCTTAATTAACATCATTTAACTTGTTCATCTTTTCATTGTTTACTCTGTTGATTATCTTCTTGACCACACAAACAATCAGTTGAGAGATTTTTGTTGCTGATTACAATTATTATTTCTCAATTTCTTTGATTCTCCATGACCCTGGATAGTGTTTTCTCCTTTGGAGAAATTGAACAAATTCTATGATTTCTTTCAATCTCTCTCACTCTCTTTCCTTCTTCCTCTCATCTTTATTTCATGTTGATCCTCTTTTATAAGCTTCTTTTCCTCCACTATCCATTGCTCAGTATCTTCAATTGGTAGTAAGTGTTTTTTTATCTTCTACCCATAATGATCATCTTGATGATTTTTCAACTACTTCTAAGTATTAGAAACTAATGAATCTCTGATTTTTAAACTTCTCTTGCCACTCTGATAGTTGTCCTTTTATTACCTAGTTTATTTTTCACTTCTCTGGTCTATTTAGTATTTTTGTTACCTGGATTTTTTTATATACCTTTTCACAAGACACTGAATCTAAACATTTCATGACAATGATGCGTGAAAGGCTAGATGATGATGATGATGATGAAGATAATGAAGGCCTCCGACTCAAAGTTAATCAAATCTGAGAAAGTCCAAAAGGAAGAAGTAAAGAGTCTCAGTAGATAGGAAGAGAAAAGGAAAGGGGAGAAGATAAGTAAGATGATGAAGACAAGGAAAGTCCTTTTCTATTATAATGATGAACGCAATAAAATGATGTTGTTGAAGTGAGACACGGGAGACAAACAAGCTGAGAGAGGGAGAGAGGGAGAGAGGAGAGGAGGAGTAGGAGGAAAAAGAAGTGAAAGAAGATGAAGATAACGATGATGATGATGAAAAAAAGGATGAAGATGAGCATGATGACAAAAAGAAAAGCAAAGGTTAACATGAGCTTTAATAGAAATTTAGAAAGAAATAGAGTGAGTGAGAGAGAGAGAGAGAGAGAGAGAGAGAGAGGAAAGGGGAGATGATGAAATAAGAGAATGGTCAAGTTGAATGGAATGAGATGAGTGAAGACAATTGTTATCTTGATTACAGGTATGAATTATCTTTTAGAATTGGGTGGACATGAAAGATGATGATACTCATGATGGAGTAAAAGATGCAGGATGAAAATAGTAGCCAGAAAAAGATAAAGGGAGGCTCAGATATGTTGCCATTAATAATAGACATTGGGATGAAGATAAAGTTGAAGGTCGTGTTTGTAAAAAATAAGAATATCCTTTTTTTCTGTTCTTTTCTTTCTCCCAATTGTATTGATGGTGGTAACTTTTCATCGTAATTTTCTATCTTCTCTTCATCTCTATTCCAATCATCAGATAAGCTCACTATTCAGTCTGAACATTGCAAGTTTTTTCTTTCAATTTAAACTCTGTTAGTTTTTTTTTCGTTTTTAGTCTTATTATTTTTTTCGCTTCTCTTTCTCTACCTTTTCATCATCTTTCTGACATATGAAACTGATGGAGCAATAAAAGATGAAAAAAATTAGGATGAGAAAAAGTTCTGAAAATATTCAAAAGTAACAAGCATCATGATGATGATTATGTTTAAACGCATTATATTTGTTTATTTAACTCTCTCTCTCTCTCTCTCTCTCTCTCTCTCTCTCTCTTTCTTTCTTTCTCTCTTTATCTTTATTTCTGTGTGTTTTTATAATGATTGTTGTGTTTAGTTTTGAATTTAGAAGTAGAAAAAGTTTTCATGTATAATCTTGATAGTTTAAGTTTTAACGATAATGATGATTATGGTGATGATTATCATGATGATGATAATGTTTAAACATATATGATTTAATCATCTTTGGATCTAGACTAAAGATTATCTCTTCTACTGAGATTTTATCATGAGATTACAAACTAAGATGAAAGGAGGAAACATTAAAGATTATCTTGTTTTCATATCATGAGCATCATCATCATAATCAACATGTTACTAAATCTTTGATCTGTTTGTTGAAACATCAACAAATACTCAGGTAAATCTTTGAGAGGATATTTACTGTTTTTGCCTTTACTTTTTATCTCTTTATCATTGGAAAGTTAATTGTTTACTCTAATCAATATTCAAAAACTTTACCATGTTAAATATTCATATGATCAGAATATTAATCTTATGAGATCTCTCTCTCTCTCTCTCTCTCCACTTATAAAAATTGATTTAATCGGTTATGATCAATTTTTGGAAACAATTTATTCCCAATGGATCTGATTTTATTATAACAGAGTTTGAATAATTGATTATGATTAAATTTGATTAGGGACAAAATGTCATTGATGCATAACCAATATGATCGGCATCAGATATTACAAACTGATTTACATTATCTGGTTACTTTCATAATCAGATGTTAACATCTTGAGATGATAAATCTACTCATGTTGATGATGAAACTTTCAGGATAATATGTCCAACCATGAGTACTTTCATTATGAATATTGTCTTGATCGTCACCTTATCTGCCAGCTCATTATCCCAGTTTCATCATGATGTTATTTGAGGAATCAGTAGATACCATGGAAACAGATTTCACCATTGATGCTATTCTATTATTCCATTTAATATAATCTATCGTCATTATCTATTTTTCTAGAACAATTTCTCTTGACATCTCTCTCTCTCTCTTATTTTATCCTTTATCTAATACACTCTTCATCTTTAGCATCCTTCCTTTTCCTTATACTTCAACTGTTTCTTCATCTTCCTCCCAGGTTATCATGCATTTGATGACTTCTCTCTGTTACAGTTACCACTCTGTTAACCACTTTTCTATTCTTAATTTTCACCTTCTTCTTTTTCATCTCTCTCACCATGTCACTTTACCTCTTTTCATCCATCATCTTTAACCTCACTTTTATATATTATCTCTTTTCATTTCTTTATTTCTTCATCTTCACATGAAACCTGAAATGAGCTATCGCCCTAATAATATCATAGTTATCATTATGTTACTATTATCACACCATCTCACTTTGCTTGTCTCTTTCTATTTGCCTCTATTGTGATGAATTAACATGATGATGAAAGAAAACTCAATTCAAACTGAATTAGAATCACATGAGGCCAACAATGTATAATACGCGTGTCTTATATAACATTTCATGGTCTTTATAAATGGTAACAATGATAATTGTAGTAATAACTTTTTTTTAGAGAAAAAAACTTACAATCTGATTTAACGAATGGATTGTCTTATAAATTGAAGTATTTCATGCTTCCTTAACTCATATCAACTACATCATATGTGCCATCAAATTTTTTCTTCATCAAAACGACTCCTTTTCCTTATTATCTCTCTTTCGCTCCTTCTTTCATCTATGCTGTCATAAATTCAGTGAAAAAGCTTCAAGAATCTAAATCGAAAGGCAAAAGAAAATGTAATATTTTCAATTCACCTGATTGACTGACGTAGAAACATGAAGATTGAAAGTGAAAAGAGAAGGAGAAAGATGCAAAGAAAGGAAATAACCAAATATTTTCAGGAGAACATGATGATTATTATGAAATAGAACTTTTCTTCTCTCTCTCTCTCTCTCTCTCTCTCTCTCTCTTGCTCTCTGTTTACTTGACTTATAGTTAACAATAAGTTTACTTACGTTCATAAACAGTCACGTTACTCCTAGTATGTAACTTCAATTTACTTTCATTTTTTTATTCTTCATCTTTAACTGACCATCAACTGACCAAAGCTGTTTTTTTTGTTATTTCTGCTGTTGTTAACCTTTACCATCATGATTTTTACCATTGCTTTTTTTAACTTTATCGTATTTAACTTTTTCACTGGCTCGGTGAACAATATCTTTCCTTTCTCTCTCTCTCTCTCTCCCCATTTTTGTAACTTCCATGTTTCTCTCCAGCACGTATCTT